TGACGGAAACAAGCCACGACATGACGGAAACAAGCCACGACACAACAGAAACAAGCCACGGCATGACGGAAACAAGCCACGACACAACAGAAACAAGCCACGGCATGACGGAAACAAGCCATGGCATGACGGAAACAAGCCACGACATGACGGAAACAAGCCACGACATGACGGAAACAAGCCACGACACAACAGAAACAAGCCACGGCATGACGGAAACAAGCCACGACACAACGGAAACAAGCCACGACATGACGGAAACAAGCCACGACATGACGGAAACAAGCCACGACACAACAGAAACAAGCCACGGCATGACGGAAACAAGCCACGACACAACGGAAACAAGCCACGGCATGACGGAAACAAGCCACGACATGACGGAAACAAGCCACGACACAACGGAAACAAGCCACGGCATGACGGAAACAAGCCACGACACGACGGAAACAAGCCACGACATGACGGAAACAAGCCACGGCACGACGGAAACAAGCCACGACACAACGGAAACAAGCCACGGCATGACGGAAACAAGCCACGACATGACGGAAACAAGCCACGACACGACGAAAACAAGCCACCACACATTTATTTTGTTGCGTCGTGGCTTTGTTTTGTTGTGTTGTGAACTTATGTTTGGTTTTTAAATTTTTTGTGTTGGGCACTACTGGGCCACCGTAAATCTCCACAGAAAGAACGCCACTAAAATCGCTCTTGATCTATGCAAAAGCAACCGTTTGAGGAACTTTCGTCTGAGTCGAATGAAAGAATGCTAACAGTAGAGGACAGAAGTCAGTAAATTGCTGTGAAATTGTAAAGGTGTGACAGTCTCTCACCTGCTTCTTACTTATTTCCTTTCAACCACAGAAGTGCCGCGAGCGGGATTTATCGTGCCTCTGCATGGATCAGAATTCTCATGAGAGAGAGGAGCCATTACGGTGTCAGTGTGTGAGGTGTTTCTGACTGATCCATTAAGGTTTGAACTCACACCATGATGTGAGATTTAATGAGACCGACTCCAAGTCAGGGTCTGGGCCTTCCAGCGAAAGAACCTAGATGGGGATTAAAAAAGGAAATACAAAGCGCTAGAGGCAGAGAAGTTAACATTCGAGATGCATATTCAACTGGAACGTCTGAATCGAAAAGCACAACCTCGTAATATCCTAAGTCTGTCGTCTAACTCTCTAGCGGTTCCACGTTTGTCTAAGATTTCCCTGTCTTAAAATCAGATCTGACAATATTTCCATTTAATACCACAGTCTCCATCTCCAGCTGGCAGAAGTGCAGTAAATGAAAGAAAGGCTTCTCATAGTCACATTACACTTTATCTTCAAAGTGCCATCAGAGCCCAGATGGAAGAGATCTTGTATTTTGATTGAATTCATCTCATTTCGGCCCATCTGTTTGCTTCCAAGCTTCAACCTTCAGCATGTGTTGCCTTATGCTAGAAGGAAACTCAAAAACGATTGTTGCAAAATAGTTCAGACTTCGTGTTTTGCCAAATTTGAATATTTAAACTGACTCAACAAGGTTACATTTGGGAACCTAAGAATCAAAACACATGGATATCTTGCATGCGTCCAGGATGTTGTTAATCCAGAACTTGGGTGTCATCTCCATGGACACTCTCGGATGAAAGCCCATCGAGTCAGCTGCAGTGAGAACTTATCCGTCTCACCCTCTCCCACTAACCAGCTGTCTAACCGACAGCATGAAGCCAGAATCATTTGCTTTTTTTTGTTTTTTTTGCAATGCACTACATGACGTTTTTAGATGGAATCTTTGTCCCTACAGAAAAAGCCAGGAAATAAGAATTGTGTCAGCAGGGTGACAACATACCCTTTCTCTCCAAGCAATCCATTTCAATAGCTTAGATCTCTGATTTCGATAGCTATAGGGAGCATCTCAAAGCCTTAATAAAAAAAAAAAAGGAACAACAAACGCGTGTGGAAGTCCATTCTGCAATGCCCTTGACCACTGTTTTTTACCAACTGCTGTCTAGTACACCTGCCCGCTGCTCTGCCAGTCTGTTTGGCAGATTTTCCAATTGTTTACATGCATGCAAATCAGTTTTTTTATGCATCCCAAATAACCTTTTGTTTACTCATAATCGCACGACATCAATAACTGTCATCTGAAGCTTGAAGAAACAACTCACTTTCAACACATCAACTTCAAGACTGTTATTTTGTTCGGGATTATTTATTTATTGGGACTTTTCTGGCACTCTTTATTAGGTTCGTCAAATTTCTCAGGAGAATCTCGTTTTGAGAGACACGGAATAACTGATATTCGCACTCATCCATCATTTCGGCTTGACAACGTGACAACACAGAGACCTTGAAAGTAATTACTCAATAATGTAGTTACAGCTGCCTAATGTGAGGGACTCAAAACTGAAGCTCTGATGAAGGTTTTAATCACAGGCGAAGGGAGCGCTGCTCGCAGACTGACCTGCATTTGGGGTCGCCAAACATTAGACGGGATGGAGTGTCTCTCTATATTGTCAGATGAGGTGAGTGGCAGCACATTGGAAACGACGGGCGTCCCTCCCAGTCCCTTTGGACGTGACCCCACTCCTACAACGGTCAGCCTTGGTAAGTGTGTGGCGTGGGTGGCTGGAGCAGAAAAGGTCTGTTTAATTCTTTGTGGATCGCTTGGTCCTGCCAATGAATGACAAGTTGGTGTTCCTAAATGCCAAGTATCTTTTGATACTTGGAAATGTATCAAAAGATACTTGGAAATAACACACCAAACTAAAAAACACTGGACCAGTCACCTGTACTTTAAATGAATGAGAAAGACCACATTGTTTAATTTACAAAATTATAGAAATCCCAATTAATAAATCATTTCGATATTCATGACAGTTCCAAAGAAGACACAATTTAAAATCTAAAATCTGTCAAATCTTGAAGCTGGTAGAGTACAAGGATTAGTGACACACTCGGGAGTAACTAATATTCAGTGCAAGATTATGACAAATTTTTACATCACAGCCAATAAAACCCACTTAAGAAGTAGTTCTCTTTAAAAAAAAAAAAAAAAAACTTTTGCTGATAATTTACTCACCCCCATGTCATCCAAGATGTCCCTGTCTTTCTTTCTTCAGTCGAAAAGAAATGAAGGTTTTTGATGAAAACATTCCAGCATTTTTCTCCATGTGAAGAGTTCAGATGCAAAAGCCTCTAAATGCCATTTGAAATTTTCATCTTTAATGATGATTTTTATCAAACTTGTATATTTAAGTTCAGTAATTTCACTTAAATAACAATTAATAGGTAATTATCATTGCCATTTAAGTGAAATTACTGAACTTAAATATACAAGTTTGATAAAAATCATCATTAAAGATGAAAATTTCAAATGGCATTTAGAGGCTTTTGCATCTGAACTCTTCATATAATGCACTTTACTTGTAACCAAATGGCTCAAGGTCCAAAAGACAGTTTCAGTACAAACTGCAAACTGTTCAAAGGGCTTTAAACGATTCCAGACGATGAATAAGGGTCTTATCAATATCAAGCGAAACGATCGCTCATTTGCAAAAAAAAAAAATAACAAAGTTTAAGTTTTATAAGCTCAAATGATTGCCTTGCTCTGTTCTGTGTGACTCTCTTGTTCGAACTGGTTCATCAAAATGAACAAATCTTTTCCCAAGTCGATTAGTTCATTTCGTTCATTGAATGAACCAAATGACACGAAAAAAGATTCGTTCATTTTGATAAACGAGTTTGAACAGGAGAGTCACGAACGCGCATCACAGAACAGAGCAAGGTGACCATTTGAGCTTATAAAACTTAAACTTTATTATTTTTTTTAAATGAGCGAACGTTTCGCTTTAAAACCCTTATTCATCGTCTAAAATCGTTTAAAGCCCTTTGAACAGTTTGCACTGAAACTGTCTTTTGGACCTTGAACCGTTTGGTTACCAATGAAGTCCATTATATGTAGAAGAATCCTTGAATGTTTTCATCAAAAACCTTAATTTCTTTTCAACTGAAGAAAGAATGACATGGGGGTGAGTAAATTATCAGCAAAAGCAAAAGTTTGCCAAAAGTTTGGCAAAATACATGTAGTGTTAACAATAGCACTGTGATATAAAACTTCAATGTTCTATAAATACTGACATATATTTTTGACAATAATATAGTTGACTAGAACAACTGTAGTGCATTTACAGTTGACAAGCAACATAGCAATTTCTATCAAATTCAACTGATGTGAGGTCATGTGCCAATTGAGCTATTTTACAGTGGCTTTGAAAGTGGTTCACTGAATCAGAATATTTTTTGGGGAAAATGTACAACTTCAATAAATGGATTACGAGGTAAATGAATAAATGGATGAATGGAAAATGTAGAATTCGAATGCAGACTTAAATACTGAACACAAATATGCTGGTGCACCTACAGTATTTCAGCTATAGCCTATTTAACTGCATAAACAATAACTTAAGTCAAAACTTGTCTTTCTGATAAAAAAAAAATAAAAAAACACAAAAAACTATAACCCATACTTGTTTACAAAGGAAAATAAATAACACTTAATAAAACAACTTTGACTCAAGCAAAAACACATAGGCCTGGTTTCACAGACATAAGGTTAAGATTAAGCCAGGATTAGGCTTTAGTTCAATTAGGACATTATAGGCGCTTTTATAAATGTGCCTAAAAAAATCATTACTGATGTACATCTTGATACAAAACTGTCATGATTCCTGTCGTTCCACTTGTATTGTGTATACTTTTGTCATTTCCTGTCTTGTGGTGATTATTGTAGTCCTAGTTTTTCATGTTGATTAGTCTCCCCAGGTGTCCTCATTTCCTAGTTAAGCTTGTTTGCCCCTGTGTATTTATAGCCCTTGTGTTTCACCTCTTACTTTGTCAGTTATGGTTGCTTTGTTTCCTCGTGGTTTTGGTCCTCTGTTCTGATTAGTTTGTGTTTATTTTCATTTCATTAAGAGATACTGCATTTAGATCCTCATATTTGCCTTCGTTCCTTTGCACGTACCAAAAACAATGGTAGTGGCATATTTTAAGATGACAGTGCATGTTGCTTTCAGTTAAAACAGCTCAAACATGCATTTTAGTCTGGGACTAGTTTTATCCCTTAATTATCGCTAGACAGCACGTCAATGTTGTAACATGTTATTCATAAAAATCAGAATAAAAATAATCTACTGTGTCATTTAGTCCATTATCCGAACTGTTGTACATCTAAACTACTGATGAAATTCTAGGCCACGTAAGGCACACGGTTATTTTGATAACAATAACTTCATATTAGCTGTAGCAGAGCGTTTGATTGGATCTGTTTAGTGCAAGATGAGTCATCAATATTGAAGCTCTGTTTGTCCTAAGGTAAACTATTTGGAGAAGACAATCGCATATCCTACGTTTCCCCAGAGAGCAGGCGAGTTATAAACCAAAAGCCATTTAACTCTTATTTTGATTAAGTATATTTGGTAGGCTATGTTTAAATCCGAACTATCTTTTTTATTCAGATTCTTTTACACCTTCGAGTTTACTATATCTTAGCCTATGACTGATCTGTCACTGAAATTCTTTATAATTGATTGTACTTTCGGGAAAATTAATTGCAAAAAGGATTCGGGATTTTATAACGCACTGCTCGCAGTGCAATGACTGAAAGTTCAGTGGCGCTGCGGCTCAGCTTTAGGACCTGGGGAGGCAGAGCGCAGTGACAGCGCGTGGACAGATCTGCTTTACCGCACACGCACCGCATCAGCTGCGCGTGAGAGCGCGGCAAAAAGACACTATCCACCGGTACACTCCGGTGCTCGACTCGCTCTTTTTCCCTGTGAGGCTGAACTGCCATAAACTAAAGCTCACCTTGTTTCCCACGGCATCTAAATACATCCCAGCCGCTGAGCATCCTTTGGAAAGTTACGCACGGCTCATTGGAGAGATGGAAGAGTAGTTGCACTTCTGTTCTTGGAATTATCAAGCACCGTCTGTGATCAGGAAAGTGGGTAAGATATTCTCTTTTCATTATTGCGTTTTAAAGCTGTGTGCACCAAAGTCTCTCAGTCAACCAGCAGAAGTCCTGTATTTTGTGGGATTTTCCGAAAACAAGTTTTTTTACAAAGTGTCCAATTCAGCCCAAAGGGCTTTGTGCATGGACGAACTTCCTATTGGCTACGCATTGCATGTAACAGAGACATTCTGGGCGAAAATGATATTTAATAGAAGCTTGTGTAGTGCTAATACCAGGCTGATGGATTCATGCTGGATTCAAGACTGTTCTGAGTACAAGTTTATTGAATTGATTCCCAATGTTTTATGGGAAATATTGCATGCAATAATTTGATCCAGTAAAATGTGATTTATATATACACAGAGACAGAAGTGATTCTGTTTCGTCTTATAGCATTTACAGTGAAAGTGAACCACAGTCTCTTTGGCCCTGAGATGAGATTTTTGCTTAGACTTGCAATGAGCAGAATGGACAGGGTGGACTGCTGAAACAGCGAACAATCACACAGCTTATTGGCGATCAGCCTTTTAACCCCCATGTTCTGTAATTTTTCCACATCTTTCCCTCTAAACTAATTAAACCCCAACAGACAGACATAATTGAAGCTTTAGCTTGCAGTTTCACAGCATGGACTTTTCAGAATAGCGACTCTGGAAAATGCTTGTTATTTGGGCTTTAATCAATTTGAATCCATTCGAAAACTCATTGCAATTTTGGTCTCTGTGGAAGTAAAATATTTAACTGCTTCTTAAATCATAAATTATGTTCCTAAATCTTAAAATGATGAGTGTTAACCTGATATATACATTTGTTCAGATTTTTTAAACAGCACATTGGACACTCAAAAAAGGGAGCTGACTCTGGTGCTGAAAGCACGAGAAAGCCTGATTTGAGATTGAAAACTTGTTAATAGTCAGTCCCTATCCAGTTATAAGTTCACAATCTGACATGTCAACCTATTTTCGAGCTTTTAAAAGGGGCTTGGGGTCAGACAGAGCATGAGAACAGTCCTCATTGTGTGGAAGTGAGAGTTGTCCCCTGCTGAAAGTTTCAAAGAACAGCCAGGTGTGCTCGGAATACATAAATGTATTTTTAACGGGTGCCGTCCTTCATAAATGTATGAAATGGAGAATACTTCCATGAATTAATCATCTCTCTCAACGTGCCGCGTTTGTTTAATCCAGTGATTTTAATACAGTCTTTTGTACTGTGCTGTGCTATGCCCAAGAGAAATCAACCCTTGTGGTTTTTCAATATTTCAAATTACAAAAATGCACGACCTGGTACAGTTCATTGTATATGTAATCAAGCCTAAATTAAAATCGATGGCGAGAACGAGGCGACGTTAAGCTTTGCGGTTTGAGAGTCTTTTCTAATCACAGTGAATGAAACAACATCAACATTCATTTTCTTTGTAAGGGTATAAAACAATCCATGCTTTCAGAAAAAGGAAAAAAAAACAACAAAGTGGAACAGATGCCACCAAAGTGATTGTAAAGCCTCTCATGACATTTTCACGTGTGTGCATGTGTGAACCATGCAAGACATATGGTCTCTAAGGTATTTGGGCTGTCAATTTGATCTCATTTAGCATTGTTATGCAGCCAGGTGCTGTAATTTAAAATTCAACGTTCCAACACACTCTTCATTTGATGATAAAGTACTTTTTGGTGGCCTTTTTGGGTTTTTTTGGTGCCTCTCTAGGGGTCCTTTGGCAGCCCTGTAAAGTGTGACTAGTTTTAAGTCCTATGAATTGTATTACTCATGGGTTTCGATTAAAAACTGAATTTGAGGGAAGCAGGTGGACCAGTGGTCTGTAAAAACTCTATTTCTTGCTTGAATCTGGGCTCTTTAGGTGGCTGGACCCATGCGTGACCTCCGTAATGTCATGTGATTCACCTCAGTGAGTTCTTCGCTGGCATGCCAATTTCTAGACAGCGTTGCTCGATAGACAGTTCTGGACCAGAGCCAAAGTCGCTAGATTGCCATCTCTTCTTTTATCTCATTTTTATTTCTCTTTCTACTGTGTGCAAGTCCTGACAGGAAATGCGTGACGGAACAGACTTTGCTTGGCTGGTTGTGTTTGGAAATATAATTTTGTAATCTGACATACACTATGTGACCAAAAGAATGCGGACACCCCTTTATAATTGACCGATTTCATCTTGGTCCTTTAGTTCTAGATACATCTCAAGGCTATATATGCAATAGCCACTCTGATGAAAATTTATTGGCCAATATTGTTTCTGTACAAGCTATCCTTGAATTTTGTTTTGTACTAAAATATTCAAAAAGTTTGTTTTTAGGTTTTTAATGCTTTTTTGAAGAGACTCTTATGCCTGGTTCAGATTACACGATTTTTTTTTGTCTGTTACGATAGTCACTGTCAGATTACGCAATTTTTTTTTGGTCTGTTACGATAGTCACTGTCAGATTACGTGATTTTTTTGTTGTCTGTTCCGATAGTCAATGTCAGATTACGTGATTTTTTTTGTATGTTACGATAGTGACTGTCAGATTACGCTATTTTTTGTCTGTTACGATAGTCACTGTCAGATTGCGCAATTTTTTTTGTCTGTTACGATAGTCACTGTTAGATTACGCTATTTTTTTGTCTGTTACGATAGTCACTGTCAGATTATGCGATTTTTTTTTTTGTCTGTTACGATAGTCATTGTCATATTACATGATTTTTTTTGTCTGTTACGATAGTCACTGTCAGATTACGTGTTTTTTGTCTGTTATGATAGTCACTGTGTCAGATTACGATTTTTTTTGTCTGTTACTATAGTCACTGTCAGATTACACGATTTTTTTGTTGCTTACAATAGTCACTGTCAGATTATGTGATTTTTTTTCTGTTACGATAGTCACTGTGTCAGATTACGCGATTTTTTTGTCTGTTACGATAGTCACTGTCAGATTACGTGATTTTTTTTTGTCTGTTACGATAGTCACTGTCAGATTACGCAATTTTTTTTTTGTCTGTTATGATGGTCACTGTCAGATTACGCGATTTTTTTTGTCTGTTACGATAGTCACTGTGTCAGATTACGTGATTTTTTTGTCTGTTACGATAGTCACTGTCGGATTACATGATTTTTTTGTCTGTTACGATAGTCACTGTCAGATTACGGGATTTTTTTCGTCTGTTACGATAGTCACTGTCAGATTACGCTATTTTGTTGTCTGTTACGATAGTCACTGTCAGATTACGTGATTTTTTTTTGTCTGTTACGATAGTCACTGTCAGATTACGCGATTTGTTTTGTCTGTTACGATAGTCACTGTCAGATTGCGCGATTTTGTTTGTTACGATAGTCACTGTCAGATTACACAATGTTTTTTGTCTGTTATGATAGTCACTGTCAGATTACGCAATTTTTTTGTCTGTTACGATAGTCACTGTCAGATAACGTGATTATTTTTGTCTTTTACGATAGTCACCGTCAGATTACGCAATTTTTTTTGTCTGTTACGATAGTCACTGTCAGATTACGTGATTTTTTTTTGTCTGTTACGATAGTCACTGTCAGATTACGCGATTTGTTTTGTCTGTTACGATAGTCACTGTCAGATTGCGCGATTTTGTTTGTTTGTTACGATAGTCACTGTCAGATTACGCAATGTTTTTTGTCTGTTATGATAGTCACTGTCAGATTACGCAATTTTTTTGTCTGTTACGATAGTCACTGTCAGATAACGTGATTATTTTTGTCTTTTACGATAGTCACCGTCAGATTACGCAATTTTTTTTGTCTGTTATGATAGTCACTGTCAGATTACGCGATTTTTTTGTCTGTTACGATAGTCACTGTCAGATTACGCGATTTTTTTTGTCTGTTACGATAGTCACTGTCAGATTACGCGATTTTTTTTTTGTCTGTTACGATAGTCACTGTCAGATTACGTGATTTTTTTTTGTCTGTTACGATAGTCACTGTCAGATTACGTGATTTTTTTTTGTCTGTTACTATAGTCACTGTCAGATTACGCAAATTTTTTTGTCTGTTACGAGAGTCACTGTCAGATTACGCGATTTTTTTTGTTTGTTACGATAGTCGCTGTCAGATTACGCAATGTTTTTTGTCTGTTATGATAGTCACTGTCGGATTACGCAATTTTTTTTGTCTTTTACGATAGTCACTGTCAGATTACGTGATTTTTTTTGTCTGTTACGATAGTCACTGTCAGATTACGCAATTTTTTTGTCTGTTACGATAGTCACTGTCAGATAACGTAATTTTTTTTTGTCTTTTACGATAGTCACCGTCAGATTACGCAATTTTTTTTGTCTGTTATGATAGTCACTGTCAGATTACGCGTTTTTTTTGTCTGTTACGATAGTCACTGTCAGATTACGCAATTTTTTTGTCTGTTACGATAGTCACTGTCAGATTACGCGATTTTTTTTTGTCTGTTACGATAGTCACTGTCAGATTACATGATTTTTTTGGTCTGTTACGATAGTCACTGTCAGATTACATGATTTTTTTTTCTGTTACGATAGTCACTGTCAGATTACGCGATTTTTTTTTGTCTGTTACGATAGTCACTGTCAGATTACATGATTTTTTTGGTCTGTTACGATAGTCACTGTCAGATTACATGATTTTTTTTTTCTGTTACGATAGTCACTGTCAGATTACGTGATTTTTTTGTTTTGTCTGATTTACGGCAATTTGTCAGCTTAATAAATTGGTGAAAAAGTTCTGTATTGGTTCTATGTATTAATAAAGTCATAATACAATGGTTGAAACAGGTGAAAATGCTCTGATGTACAGTAAGACATCTGCTGACAGAGTTAGATGTCTGCTGAGAGAGCCAAATTACAAGGTTTTTGCTGACACAATTACTTCACACTGTTGACTAGCAAGCTTGGCTTTTGTGACACAGGAGTCCAAAATCACAATTGTCTTTGTAGTGAAAAGAAATATCAAATTGGACTGAGGTTTTAGCGAAATACCAAGTGGATGAAGAAATTAGTCTACAGTT